TTTCATTCAAATAGCTGTCCTGGACAGGATGAAAAGCTGATACAAAAGAAGTCATTTCCAGCAGTAGTATTCAGGGACACTGTATACGAATTTCCTATTGCAAAAAGCATTAACATGATTGATGCCTCCAAGAATTCCAGATCAAACGACTCATGAAGATAGATTCGCATAATAAAGCGAAAACTAAAAGCAGTTTACACATAAAAAATAATTCAAGCTCAGCAGTTATGTTTACTGCAATTATCATCCGGTAAGTTACAATATATCAAGAACAACTGAAGGTTGCTATCAAAAAAAAAAAAAAAGAACAGTTGAGTCTCAAATTAAGATGGAAGCTCAAACTAAATGTTCTAAGAAAACTAAACCACTGGCTGCTGACCTCTCAAATTTGCTGTCACGCTGAAATACAAGTGTTTGTATTGCTTCCGTTCTTTTTTACATGTCTGTCCTGCTTCTCCCAGTATCATCAAAACTGCTTTCTTTTATTCCTAAAGATCCTATCGCGTTTATTCCAGACATAAAGGAAAGCAAACACAGCCCCCGCAGAAATTGACATCGAACCCCACGGAAGAGGTGGATCCTTAAAGCAAACAAGAGATGCCTCAAGTTCTTGTGATGCATGATAAACGAGTGAGTGGACGCCATAAAGATCGTGATCGGAGGACCTCAAGTAGTACAAAGCCATCTCGAAATCAAAATGCGACAATGCAGAAACAGCTTTGTCCAGCTTGTACTTGAACAAATTCCATCTTTGTATGAATTCGGCATGTCGATTAAATTTAAGAAGATTTCTGTCCCCGCCATGCGACATTATGGATTCAAGAACATCGATAGCACTAGTTATGCTGTAATTCAAAGATGTTAGGAGGACATTTCTCCGTGCTGCATCCTTTTGGACGAACGACAAAGACGAGATCTCCGAGAATGGCCCGAATGGTGTCTGCCCAACACTCCAAGTATAGTCCACCAGAGTGTTATTATGCCTCGAGCTCCATAACAGATGGGTAGGTGAAACTCCCCACATGCTCTGCAAGATAGAACCGACTAGAGGCCGCTCGAGATCCCTCGTCTGAGCAAAAACATGACGGCCATTGCAACTGTAATCACTCACCGTCTGTGTAATCTTCGTCCTCACTGCGATCACCATATCCTTAAAAGAAACAGATTGATGATACCGGTCAAGCAACAAGAGAGTGTTTATTTCCAAATCAAACACATAGACAGGAAGCACCCTGCCAAAATCCTCCTCAGGGAACCCTGCCAACCTCCTAAACTCGTCAGCCGAATCAGTCAATATCTGATGCAAACGCTTTGAGTCCAGGTACTCATTCACGATCAGAGTATAATTATCAAACAAGAACCTGGAAGTGTACGAATTCGTAGCTCTTGAAATCGCGAACGAACAAATCGGACAGTCCTTATAGTTCACCGAATACTCCTTAAAGCTCAAAGACTGATCACCCAGCAACAACCCGCCATCATTCACCTCATCCCTGAACACCCTCTCAATATTCTTCCAGTCCAAACCACTCGAATCCCTACTCTCCGAGCTATAAACATGTATAAACTGAACAATCAAGGAGTTCTCGAAAGGGACCGGAATTTGCAGAGAAGGCACAACGAGTACCTGGTATGCGCTCCAGACCAGAGATGCCAAGTCCGCGTGGAGCGCCTTGTGCGACTTGGGCCGACCGTGCAGCGCCGCGAGGGGATGGAACTCGCCCCGCGGCAAGACCCCGTCGCCGGACAACGCGGGCCCATAATCGACCGGCCCCGCCGCCAAATCGATCCAGACGTACCTCTCCCTCCCGGTCCAAATGCTGCCCAGGCATTTCGTGAACCCCGGGGAAGACTCCCCCGGCGTGTAGCCGTACGCGTACGGCTTCTCCTGCGTGCCAAGGTCGAGGAAATAGACATAGACCCCCTCGACGGGCTTCTCCCTCTCGAAATCTTGCCGGACTGCCGTCGACGGCGGCGTGCGGGATCGAGAGGAGCGGGGAGCGGAGGGAGGAGGGGGACTTGGCGATCTCGGCGCGGAGGGCGTCGGAGAGGGAGGAGGAGAGGGAGGAAGGGGCATGGGAGACGTCGAGGTGGAGGGAGTGGCGGAGAGAGAGGCGGTGGGAGGGGCGGCCGCCGCCGGAGGGGGAGAAGGGGGCGATGACGTGGAAGTGGCCGGAGGGGAGTGAGGCGGAGAGGAAGGAGGAGAGGAGGGAGGAGGAGTCGGGAGGGAAGGAGGGGCCGACGAGGCGGACGTGGACGGGGACGGCGAGGGAGAGGGCGGAGAGGGCGTCGACGAGGCGGCTCAGGTGCCGGGGTTGCTGGCCGCCGCCGCCGGGGTAGGGCTGGACAGAGAGGGAGGACTTGAGGGACGAAGGGAGGGCGAGGAAGGAGTCGTTGGCGGCCTGCGGGTCGCGGCGGTACTGGTCGCTCAGGAAGGTGTCGAGGCCGACGATCGGGGCGACGGAGGTCGCGGCGGCGGCGGCGGCGGCGGAGGAGATCGCGAGGAGCAGGAAGAGCCCTAGGGCCGCCGTGGCTCCGGGGGCCATCGGGAGGAGGACGAGGCGGCGGCGGCGGCGGCGGAGGAGTGGCTGTGCCTGTGAGTGAGTGCTGTCAGCGTGGGGAGATCGACGGCGGCGATCGGAGTGAAATGAGAGGAAGCTGGCGGACCCAGTTCTTCGTTTGGTCCGTCGCAGGGAGGGCGAGAAAACGGAGGTCAATGCCTCTTTTAAGCGCTTAAAGCCCAACCCAACCAAAGGGGGTCCAATTCAAGTCAAGGACTTGCACAAAAGTGCCATGAAAGTCATTTTTAGGATTGTTACCCTAGTGTTATTTGGCATGGCATCCTAAATAGAATGACCCTACATGAAATGTACATTCATCTGATTGCCGGAGAAGTTATATCGTATCGAATCGATCCGTCTTTTACGCGATTCATCTTGAAACATGTATCGGGTGGCAAGGTTTCAGAATAGATCTCTCCATTCGCCAAATATGGAATTTCTCGATATGCTACCGAATTTATCCTGGCTCGTATGATGTGTCCGAAATTCCTCATCCTATATTCTTAGAGAAATGGTGATTATAATTCAGTACGGAGTAATCAGACTACCGGTGTATCACCAATGGAGGAAAGAGTAAAAAGAGAGTGGCATTAATGGAATCTCTACCACATATAGATTGTAGCCACCATGATTTTTGGACTCTAATAGATATATATACACACACATATATGTACGGGCCGATAAAATACCCTCATCCCTCCTCCCTTTGTATTTGTTGAAGTGGCACTAGCTAGATGTTATATCAATTTCGCGTGTCAATATTTGCCTTGTAAACATTTAGAAGCCGCGGAATGATCAAAGCTATTAAATGTCAGACAATGGAAGGTCTTGATTAAACAATTTAAACTATTTAAAGAGCTCGATAACACACGAGAAAAAGTTAGAAACTGCTTTTCCATGAGCTCTTATTACTATCAATGTAGAACCAGTAGAGATTCGATATGATTGCATCACGATAAGGAATCGTCTTAAATGGGGAATGCAACTATCGAGATTGCCGCCAATGAGATGAAGCAAGCTCGGGAGGTGGGTAGAAGGGAAGGAGTGGCTTGAGTCTACTCAGTAGCACTTTTGTAATTGTATGATCGTTTCTTGAAACACCTGCTTATCCCACATATGCTTTCGGAGACCCCTACTGAATCAATCACTTAGTTATGATTGCAGTCGACAAGGGAGAGGCTTTCCTATATTCTCCGTTACTTGTATGGATAAGGCCTATCTTATAGATTGAATATGCGTAAAAAGTAAAAGTTAGAAAACTCAAAATGCACTTAGCCAACGAAGAATCCAAGTCTTTGGTGATAACTAGTCATAGCCACGGGCCGATTTTGGCTCGGAACCGGCCCGGTCAAACCCGGGACCGGCCCGTTGACCGGGCCCGCGGTTCGAAACCGGCCCGGAATCGGCGGTTCCGGGCCCGGTTCCAAAAAAAAAAAAATTATTGCTGCCGTGTGTGGTGAGAAAATCATTTTAGACTTTTTAGTCCCCCCTCTCTCTCGCTCTCTCTCTCTCTCTCTCTCTCTCTCTCTCTCTCTCTCTCTCTCTCTCTCTCTCACGTGCTCTGCATCTTCTTCTTCTCCTTCTCCTTCTCCTTCTCCTTCTTCTTCTTCTCCTCCGCTCGCGGCTCGCCCCTGTTTTCCCAGATCTAACCCCCGCTGCCGTCGCCGCCGTCGCCCCCACCCATGGCCGCAGCCGCCGACGCCGACGCCGACGCCGACGCCGACGCCGACGCCGCCTCCTCCTTCCCCCTCGCTACCCTGCGCCTCCTCCCCTTTTCTCCTCCGCCCGCCCCCCGTCTCCCCAGATCTAGCCCCCGCCGCCGCCGCCGCCCCCTACGGGCCGCACTGCCGACGCCGACGCCCTCCTCCTCCTCCCTCCTCCCGACCCGGAGAAGGAGGACCCCCCGCTCCTCCTCCCCGTCCCCGTCCCCGTCCCCCTCCCCCTCCCGGCCCCCTCTTTCTCCCCCTCGCCGCCGCCCCCGTCTCCCGCTTCGTCTCCTCGCCGCCTTGAACGCCCCCTCCGCCACCGTGGCCAAGGCGGCGAAGCCCGAGCGACGAGCGACGACCGACGAAGGACCAGGCCTGCAATTTTTATTTTATAATTATTTTATTAATTTTTAAATAAGGAACCGGTCGGAACCGGAACCGGCCTGGAACCGCCGGTTCCGGGCGGTTCCGGTTCCGGTTCATACATGGCCACGAACCGGAACCGCCGATTCCGAACCGGAACCGCCGATTCCGAACCGGAACCGGCGGTTCCTGAACCGTGGCCATGACTAGTGATAACAATAACAACTACAAAGAATCAACTCCGACCTTGGGCCTGGTTAGACCCAATCAATGGCATTAGACATCATTTCAAGACCAACTACTAGAATCCACGAAGAGCCCACTTGTAAAGATGGGCTTCACTCATTGATGCAAAATGTCTCCCTCCAAAGGCCCATTTCATCTCTTCCTCGATCTTCCTTTCTTTCATTCTTCCTTTTTTCCCTCTTAAAGACTTACTCCACAATATTTACTCTTTTCCTAGCCCAAAAAAAAAAGGGAAAATTCCAATTTAGGGTCTAGTGGGGCCATTTTTCTAAATGGGGTCTAAAGTGAACTTTAGTGCAAATTAGGCACCCAAAGTCCCCAAAAAGTGTCAAATAAGGTTAAGGTCGCCGCCGACCAAAATACACCGTCTACGGCGATCCCGCAGACTGTTCCGAGCAGTGTTTTTATATATTTTTTTTTCCTTTTTTCTGTTTTTTTTCTTTTCCTTTTCCTCTTTTTTTTTTCTCCTTTCCCTTCGCCGGCCATTGCCGTGGCCTGGCGGGAGGTCGCCGGGCCTCAGCGGAGGCGGCCCCGGCCGCGAGGGCGACCCAGGGCCGCCTTGCCGGCGTCGGGCGAGGCCGCCCTCGCCCGGGCTAGGCGGGCGAGGCGACCGTCGCCGCGTGGTCTGCAAGAGCATCCTCGCCGGACCTCGGTGAGGTCGCCATGCCCGCCGAGCCCGGGCGAGGCGGCCTCGCCCGACGCTGGCTGAGCCGGCGACCCAGGGGTCGGGCGAGGGTCGCCTCGCCCGAGCGCATCCCTCGCCGGATCGGTGAGGGTCGCCCATGCTCACGCTAGCCCACAGGGCGAGGCGAGTACTCGCCGATTTCGCCGCGTGAGGGCGACCCTGAGGTCTGGCGAGGGTCGCTCGCCAGTGGCGAGGCAAGAGGCCGCCTCGCCGGGCTGGGCGGCGAGGCGACCTTCGCCAAATCCGGCGAGGGATGCTTCGCCGGATTGGCGAGGTGGTCGCCTCGCCGTCGGCGCCTGAGCGAGGCGGCCCTTGCTCACCGCCGGCGAGTGGCGACCCCTCGCCCGACCACTCCCGGGTCGCCGGCCGGGCGAGGGTCGCCCTCACCCGCCCCACCCCAGCGAGAGGCGGCCCGCCTCTACGCCGGTGAGGGCGGCCCTCGACGGCCAGGGCCGCCTCCGCCTGAGGCCAGCGACCTCCGCCGGCCCCGACAATGGCCGGCGGAGGGAAATGAGAAAAAAATAAGAGGAAAAGGAAAAGAAAAAAATAGAAAAAAGGAAAAAAAATACTGTTCCGTTTGCCGGAACAGTCGCGGGATCGCCGGCCGGCGGGTATTTTGGCCGGCCGGCGACCCAGACCCTTATTTGATACTTTTTGGGGACTTTGGGTATCAATTTGGCACTAAGTCCACTTGGGACCCCATTTTGAGAAAATGGCCCCACTTTGGACCTCAAATTGGAATTTTCCCAAAAAAAAAACAAAATGTTCAATTTTTCGTCCATGTAATTTCACGCATTTTCTAATCAAATTTATGTCATTGTGACGGTCGCATTAGCTGAATATGGTCGGATTTGGTCTCTTAGGGACATGATTAGAAATTCGTTGAAAATCAAAGGACTTGATTAGATAAATTGAAAGTATGGAGACTTGATTCAAGAATTCATGAAGATACAGGGATGGAAAGCATAATTTCTCTCAAAAGAATAATATAATTTGCAGCTCTATGGGCCAAAAAAGAAGAAGAAGAAAATATCCGACTCTTCCACGTCGGGATGAAAAGAGTTGTCGAAACATATTAATGTGCACGGTAAGTCTAATACTATCTATTCTTCTTCTTTTTTGTCGAAAACACGACAATTTATTCAAAGCGAGTTGATGCATACCAGAACGGTTCAAATTCAATTAACATGATTTTCTCAAAGTTAATTGAATTTGACCTGGTTCGCATCAACGCATTAGTGTTCATGAATTCGCCGTCCTTGTTGAAACGAGAAGATGGGCAGGTTCATATATTTGTCATGATTGTGGTACGATGATTTCCAATCTCCTAAAACCTTTCACATTAATCATGTGGCATCAATGATATGATAGAACCTTAAAGAGGTCGAAGCTAGAGATCTTCTCGAGAATCTGTGCGAGGAGGGTGAGAATGGGGTCAGCCATGGTGGCTGAAGCGTGAGATTTTGTCATTCTCTTCCTCCAAAGCACCGCGTGTGATGATGATCCATAGTTAATCCCCGCAAAACGATAAGGGACAACTTTTCATTAATTTTGGGATTTCTAGGCTTCATTGATTGCTTGCATTCATGCATGTACGCGCACCCCATTCAACATGGTACTCATTTTTCTTTGAAAAAGAAAATTGAAAGCTTTTTGTTTGGGACTCTGAAAAACGGATCTCCAAATCGCGGCAGTATAAAAGAATTTAAAGGATTTACGATCAGCGTATATTCGTACGAACGTGGATTATAAGATTTGTTGGCATCTTCGTTCAACTGTCAAGACTGATTTGCATTATAAAAATCACTCACGTTTTCATTCTTTTGTCGCACCTCATTCATGCATCATGCATTATACACCACCAAAAGCTTTTGTTTTTCATAAGCTTGGAGTATCTCCATTCATCTGAGTTTTATGACATGCACATAAGTGGTCAAGGGTCAATGCATTGCTTAAAAATAGAAAAATGGCAATAAGCCCAGTCCAGGGCCATCTAAAAAGCCCGAACCAACCAAATCCGACCAAACCGAAAGTTTCAGGTTGGTTCTTGTCCGGTTCGGGTAATGACTTAAAATCCGGTTATTGTTATGGTTTCGATTTTGTTCGGGTCACAAACTCGAAGGACTCGAATCAAACCGAAACATGTAAGTTTTTCAAACC